TGTGCCCTGACCGGAGTGGAACCTGGGACCCTTCAGTCTGCAGGCCGGCGCTCTGCCCACTGAGCCACACCGGCCAGGGTGCTCTCAGAGCCTCCAGCCTGTGTGATGCCCGCAGCCCCCTGGGCCCGATGCCCGTCTCTCCGACATGCACTGCAAGCCCTGCCGGCACCTGCCCTCTGAGCTCCAGACTCAGGTGCTCCCACCACGCAGCAGCCGCACGCGAATTCCCCTCCGTGTGTTCATGGTCATTCTCCTCCCTCGCTCGGTCCCTCCACGTGAGCGGGAAAACCTCTCCTGCTCCTCGTTCTAGGACCCTGTCCCTCCCCACAGCGGAGCCCTCCCGGAGGCCGGCCTGCCCAGCGGAGCCGACCTGACCCGCCCTCCCGCCAGGTCGCTGACCTGCTCCCACACACACACACACACACACACACACACACCCCGCCCCCAGCCCTCTCGCTCTCCCCCCGCCCCGATACTGCCTTGGCTCCCGGGGAGGAGGGAGAGCTTGAGTCTTAGGGTCAGACAGACCTGAGTGGGAGCCGGCTCTGTCCCTTCCGGGTGTGGCCTCGGGCACTGTGAGGGCTCCCCAGGGCAGTGTCTGTGGTGATGGTGATGGTGGCAGCGCTGCCCCCCGGGAGGGGGAATGGGGGGGGTTGCTGTCAGGGTCACAGGCGATCACGCCCCCGCACGGAGCCCACTTTCCAACAACGGTCAGCGCTTCACACATCACCGTTATCTCAGGTCTGGTTTCTGCGAACTTCTGCTCAAACGTCCATGATAGATGAGCTGACACCGGTTTTACTGTGACTCTACGCAGGAGGGCTTTCCTCATTGGTTGGTTTGTTTGTTGTTTTAATCGCGGCTTTGAAGCTGTTTGCCCCGCGGGGTCCTCAGGGATAGAGACAGGATGGTGGCGACCACCAGGGAGCTGGAGGCTCCTTCCACCTTCGTCGGGTGGCGCTGCTCAGCGGCTGCCGGCCACCGGACTCGCGGACACGTTCCCCCCGGTGAATTCTCCGACTTTTACGTTGTGCAGGTGGTGGCCAGCGCGCCTGCTCACAACGTTTATTTAGACTAGTTCACGACTTTTGATACCTTTTCCTTTCATTTAAACGGTGACTGGCATACGACAGACATTCAGCCCAGCGTGGCTGTTGTTACTATTATGTCGTTGTTGTTAGCATCTTACGTGGATGCTCTCTAACAGCTGTTATGTTCTCTTATCCGCTGGTTTTCTCATTGGCCGTTGGTTGAGTCTTAAGTGACTGATGCAAGTATGTTTGTCCCCAGGGCCAAGCTTCCCACATCTCTCCCCAAACAGACCCACGATCAGGGACTTGCCCTTCGCCCGGAGCAGCCTGGCCCCCCTGGCCGACCAGAAATGTAAGTGTCCCGCCCCCCGCCTCCGCCTCCACTGCCTGGTGCCCACAGTCCGTCTGTCCGGGGGCAGCTGGCTGTTACTTCACTCACTTTCGCTGTAAAGGGGGCGGGGAGGGCGGGCAGGGAATGGCGCCGGTCCTCACGGCCTGTTAACAGGCCGCTCCTTCCTTCCGGCGCCTTCTGTGGACTGTAGAAGCCAGAGCATGTTTTGCTCTGTTTGTGTTGCTGTGACTGTCCCGCGTGATCAGAAGGGGGTTCACATCCTGCTCCTGGGGCGGCCCTCGGCACGTGCCCCCCTGTGATGAGTGTCTGCCCTGCGGCCAGGCCCCTCCGCCCGGCAGGGGGCACGCTCTCGTCGGGGTCACGTTGCCGTTACCGATTCCTGTTCTATTTACACCAAACGTCTCACAGTATGAATACCCATCGGCTCCCCCCAGCAGGGACCTCGTGCTTGTGTTTGAAAGGGCCGCCCGGGTGCTTGTGATAAAGTCGACTCCGGGCCACACACCCAGTGCAGGTGGTCTGCAGGTGAGCGGTGACGCTGAGATGAGCTCGGCGTGCAGGATTGAGCTAGAGAAGCAGAGGGCGACCGCTCGCTCAGGCGTGAAGCAAAACCTCCAAGGCCCTCATGGCTTCTGTTTGGGGAGTACAGCAAGTGACAATGGTAAACAGGCATGCCTATGAGATCATCTGAGCTGAGTTATACATTAAACGATTAATTTCCTATATTACACAAAGACCCTCTCAACCAGCAGCTGTGTACCCTCCCTTGAACTTTCCATGCCCTCATGGACCCATGGAAGCTCTGCCTCAGAACAATAGGTCTTGCGTGGAAGGCTTTGTTCTGACGTGGCCCGCTTGCAGGCCCCCGCCTTTTCCTGGCAGAACGTCCTCTTCTAGTTAACTTCATTCCGCTTGACCGGCTGCACCCAGCAACTCCGTGTCGGAGGGAGGTCTCCCCTTGTTCCCATTGTGCAGACGGGGAGACTGAGGTCTCGCTCAGCGGCCTTACGCGGTGAAGAGCAGCGCCAGGAGCACAGCTCAGGCTACGGGCAGCTGCTCCCAACACAAGCGTGTTTCCTGGGCCCTCGTGTCCTCCTTTGTTGGGTGTTTCCTTCCACGTCCTGCGTGGAGTAGGGTTCGGTACCTGAAAGAGGAGCCGCACAACAAATGAGAGAAAAAGACACGAGATAATTTTGCAATATTGGGGGACCAGGCGGCTGCAGAGGGTGAGTGAAGTCAGAGCTGCCCTCCCTCTTTCTGGGCGTCCGTCTCCCCAGAGCCTGGGACAGGCCAGCCTGCTGCGCTGCTGGGAGAAGTAAGTGAGATGAGAAGGTCAAACCTCGGCAACCGTTTTCCCGAGGAAATGTCCTCTGTTCCCCGACCCAGTGGGGAGGGAACCCATCGAAGCTTCTGGGACCCTCGGGTGACAGTGACCGGGGTCTTGGTGTCACCCCGTCATTTAGCGGAAGGAGAGGGAGAGGTGGCGGGCTACGCCCAAGTCCCCCGTGAGCCGCCGAGAGCGAGGTCTCTGCCTTAGCTCCGGCTCCTCTGCCCTTGCACACAGACAGGCACACGCATGCACACACGCACACACATACGTGCACATGCTCTGTGCCCGTGAGCGTTTTCTGCGCTGGGAACTCAGTCACCGAAGGAAAGTCGGGCCGCCCTTGTGACCTTGTCGCTAAGCAGAAACCAGCCTCTGTCTGAACAGACGTTGGGTGTGTGCAGTCTGGCTCCCCCAAGACATGCCCTCACCCCCTAACAAATGACACCTCAGCCCTGGCCGGTGTGGCTCAGTGGATAGGGCGCCGGCCTGTGGACTCAGGGGTCCTGGGTTTGATTCTGGTCCAGGGCACATGCCCGGGTTGTGGGCTCGGTTCCCAGTAGGGGCCGCCCCGGCCAGGAGCGCTGACCCGGACCACGCCTGTCAATCACCCGGAGGGCCAGGCCGCTCGGTTTGTGGGAAGAGACTGATTCCGTAAATCTCACTCTAAGCCATTCTCCGCTTTATCGTCCGCGGCCTCACTCCAAAGACAGCGTTTCCCGGAGGCAGAGCGCCTGGCCGTGCCTGCGGGCGAGGAAAAAAAGACAAGAAATAACACGTGTGTCTCCTGCCACCGCGCCCACGAGACTCTGAGAGAAGCGGCTTTGACGTATCTCCTTCTCTCTCCCCCCAGTTCTGTCCGGAGAGCCCCTGCGGACGACCCGCGTGCTCCCCGCCATCCCCAGCCAGCGGGGCCACGGGGC